ATATATATATATATATATATATATACACACACACACACACACACATACATACACACATGCATACATACATACATACATGCACATACATACACTCACACATCTTTTAACCTTTTCATTAATTCAACTTACCCAGTGGGCTTCTGTGCATGTATTCATGAGTTCCACTCCACAAAATCAGACCACCTTCACATCAATTATATCATTCATGTTTTTCTTAGTTTCAAAGGCAAATAAATATTTTTTCATTTTTTCATTTTGCTTGCTGATACATGCTTTTTACTATTTTCTATATTCTAAGCTGCAATTTACCATATAACATAGTCAAAGAAAATCTTGTTTATTTTTATTTATTTATTTATTAATTAAAGTTGTCCCCACCCATCTCCCCCCAATGGGGGACTCTAATTGAATATTAAAAGACTGTGTATATTTTCACTGCTTTGGAATTATGATTTACTGAAGGGATGTCAAGGTACATGCTATGCTTAATTGTTGTATATTGAAGGGCCAAAAAGAAGAAAATTTATAAATAAATAAAATGTAGTTCAGTAGAGTTTACTCCCAACTAAGTATACTCTGCATTACTGCTTCAGTGTATTTTTTCTAGCTAAACCATGCCTCTTTGCTTCTTGAAGAAAACTACATCATTTACCAAATTATTAACAGTAAGGTATGCAACAAAGTACTGCGGTGCAGAATACTTCTGTTCAGCATTCTGGAGGCTCTATTCCATTTCCTCCCTGTTGGTGACTCCTGATCAGGCCAGTGTCTGGGTCCACTGGGCATACTCAAAACTCACTGGGCTGAGTCCCCCCTCCACCCACTTGTACGTGGATAATGCTGTTTTTGCTAAGTTAGGATTAACATTGAAGAAGTCTGGGTTTGTGTTTGTATGATAATTGCTCCCTCTGAAAACAGGACATTGTATAAATCAGGATTTACTATTATACTAATGTTGCTTTTAAGCTGTTTTGTTAGAACACAGGGCATTAACAAACAGACCTGTGAGAATTAATAAGAGAATCTGAATCTAATAGCCCCTAATACCCTTATCTACAGGGCAATATGTACATTTCTGACAGACTCCTTATTTCTTTTTCTCTTCTTTTCTAGGGTACCTCCCTACTATGGATTCCCAGGAAAGGACCTGTCTTGTTTGGAGTATTTTACACCCTGGGGAATATCTCATCCATTGGAAGGTAAATTATTTTCATTTTGAACTTGTAGATGATGGAAGACTATCAGATATGTTAATGAGATGAGCATTAGTAATTAGAAATACTGTACATAGCTCTGGTAATTTTTTTTTTTTTTTTTGCTATATGGTTGAGTCAAAATATTTTGACTGGATATAATATTTGATGATGGTGAAGTTCTGATTTTTATAGCAGTTAGTCCATTTGGGAAATAATGCAATCATAATAACTTAACATGAGCATTCAATTAATTTCTTACTTGGCAAGCAGTAATATTCCCTAATTTTATTTGATGAGATTAAATTTAATCTAGGGCTACTGTATTGGGTTGCAAGATTTAGGTGCAGCTAAATGCAGCGAGGAATTTGTTTTTCTTGCATTTTTCTACTGCCATCTGGTAATGATTTAGATTTTTGCATCCAAATATGGTAGTTCTAATTTGGTCACTAGGTAAGTTTAAAGAAAAAGTTGTAGTGTCTCTTTAAACACATATACATGTAAAATTTTGTTTGTTTATTTAGCAAATGTTTATGGCTGTCCATCTTAACTCTGAGTGACTCACAATACAAGATGTTAGAAGCAGCATAAATACAAATACAAACACAAAATCCAAAAGCCGATGCATCTCACACATTATTCTCAATCACAAATTCACCTACATCAGGCTCTGCTAACTAGTGACTAATTCTGCTAACTAATTACTAACATAGCCCTAGTGCCTGTGGTTTTACAGCCTTCCGAAAGGGTCAGAGCCATCTGGATCTCGGGGGGAGGCTGTTCCACAGATTTTAGATTTGTTTTCTGCAGCCAGTTGTATTCAATATTTTTCTTTTGCAGTACCATCTTTCTTATGGGACCTGTGAAGCAATTAAAAAGAATGTTTGAACCCACTCGTTTGATAGCTACAATTATTATGCTTGTAAGTAATTCACTTTTTAGTGTTTTAATGACGAATGAGAATGTTCAGTTCAAGACTGTTTTAAAACACAGAGAGATACACTACAATCACATGTGGCTTGAAAGCTACTGTTTTGTGGTTTTTGAAGACCTCCCTCTCCAGTTGCATTGAAGAAATCCAGTAGTGAGATTTTTCAAGAGCTTTTTGCAGAAATAAACAAAATTGTATTTAGCCTTTAAGAGGTTTATATGTCTGGAATAACCCCACCTTAAAATGACTGAAAGTTAGTCCCACCACCCTCTTTGAGTTCTCATCATGGTTCTCAAAGACTGATTTTTTTTATGTCCACCTCTTGGCCAAAAAGGTTTCCCCTCATTCTTTTAAAGAGGTTTCATTAAATACTATTTTGCTTTTTATAAATTGCTTTTGCTCATAATAGTAAATATCCAGAGATTGCTGTAATTCTCTGTGGTTCCTAAGGGTTTTATAATGAGTGAGGCTTAGCATAGGAACATGCATTTTTTGTGTGGAGAAAATGTGCAAGACTAGGAGAGCAAGGGTTTTGCTGGCTCGCTGGCAACTTTTTTAAGGGTGCTGTAACTCTAAAGCTATGGTCTTCCCGTGAAACACAGGAAATGGGATTTATGGGGAGAGGGATTTAGAAATGTCTTTGTCTCCTGGGACTTGTTAAACAAAAGACCTCAGAGAAGCAAGAATTTTAGGACTGGGTTTGTGCCTGTCAACTCTGGGAGAACTGGTCCTAGTAAGGTAAAATTAGCAAGACAAGTATATGCAGAAGCATTAGAAATGTATATTTATTTTCAGTGCTGCTTGATCAGTTGGGTGTCTTTACTCCTGCTCCCATTCTCTGTTCATTTAATCCTCAATCTCAGGTTAACTACTGCTAGCTTTTGTATCCAGACCTATGATCCCTATAACTTGGTCTAGCTATTTTATTTTTAAATGACTCCATTTGTTGCTTTTGTTAAAATGAATCTGTTGTTCTTTGATACTCCACTGTTGGCTTTGTACTTAGCACCACACAGCCCAAACCACTTGAACCCAGTTAATAGGAAGAACTGGAGCCTTTTATTTAGAAGCTGAGTTTGGGAAAAGCAATCTCCTGCTTGGTTCCACCTTGATTTCAGATGAAAAGGTTATTTCAAGAACAGGTGGTGGCAGCATCAGTACCTGCCTAGTTAGAAATCTTTCACCTGGGGGAACAGTTATATCAAGATGCTTCAAGGACTCTGGGAAGGAGGAGGGATATTTATTTTATTACAAAGATTTATATGACCACCCGGTTCAAATAATGTGACTCTAAGTGGTGTACAACAAAAATAGACAATTGATAAGAAAAAAAGGAATGAAAACCATACATCATTAAAAATAACCCAAATATGACAAAATAATCAGTAGGGAACTCCAGTCACCTAGACCCAAATGCCAAGAGAGAGATAATGAGAGAGAAAGAGAGAGAGAGAGAGATTCACTGCTTCATCTTTGTTGTTAAAAACATATGTACCATAAACATGCATCATAATAGAAAATTAGAATGTAGGAATTGCATTGCTTTGCTATGGTGGCAAATTGGAGGTTTTAGGTTTTTAATGTTATTGTAATTGGATATCTGGCTGCTGCTGTATTTGGGTATGGGCTTTATTCTTTCAGGAAAAGGTGCTGGAATATTTTACAGTACCCAATACTTTGACCATATTTCTAGGGGATCCATAGGATGTCTTCTATCAGTACATTGCATAGGGTATAATTCCTAATTAATTCAGAACTTAGAAAATGCATACTTACCAAAAGGAAAACTTAGCTTTGGCCTGAACCAGCAACTTTTATGATGTGTGGGGGATAAAGAGCAATTACAAGTAACAGCAGCATTTTAATTATATACTTCAAGATTAACTATTAGACCAATGCTTATATGCTTCCTTGTTTGATAGTATCCTGTTTCTAGCACACATGTAACAGCTATTTGGTTGTACAGTAGTCATGTGTCTTTCTTATTCAAAGACTTTCTCTCTGTGTATCTTTTTTTAGCTATGCCTCATATTAACTCTGTGTGCAGCTTTCTGGGTAAGTAATCAAATTTACTATGTGACTAATTTGCCTTAACAAAATACCCATTTTTTGTTTGAGTTGTAATTATCTGTTTTCTTTTCAGTGGCATAATAAGGGGCTTACTATCCTCTTCTGTATTTTACAATTCTTTGCCTTGGCATGGTATGTATCACCTCATTTTCCCTTGCTTGTTTTCCTGTGAACTTGGATCTTTGGTGATAGCTGGAAATTCTTGTGCATTTAGGAAGGAAAGGTTTTCTTGTACCATCACAGATCTTGACTTCTTTTTAAATAAAGTCTACCATAATGAAGCCAATTATTTGGCTTCATATTTTCTCCTAATCCCCTAGGAATTTTGAATGCATTGCCTTAAATAACAATTTTTATTGAATTTCACATGAGAACCTATGGTGACATTTGCATATAATGCAAGGGCAGTGATTTGCAGGCTTGTGTGAACATTTGATCTCATATCTGGTGACACATTTGACTTATTCCACATTTGAATTCCTAGTTATTCCTGACATATGAATCTTAGTTCTAAAGTTCTAGCAAAGAGTCGGTTTGTGTAATGCTTAAAGGCAACAGGCTAGAAACCAGGAGACTAGGTTCTAGTCCACTCTTAGGTATGAAACCAGCTGGATGACTTTGGGCCAGTTACTCTCTCTCAGCCCCAGGAAAAAGGCATTTCCAAAATTCTTGCCAAGAAAACTGCAAGGACTAGTCCAGGCAGTTGCTAGGAGTAAACACTAACTCAAAGGCCCGTGCGCACATACACACATGCACACACACACACATCTTAATAATATTTTTCAGATATCTATCCTTGTTGATTTAAAATCTTTTATAATATTTTCCAGTAAAATAAATAATTTTGGGGTTTCAGAAACTGAACAGGCCCAAACTGAACAGTAAAGTGTGTTTCAATGAATACATTGCCATTTTGCAGATTTATAACCCCCAAATTCTTGCAATACCTGAAATAACAACAAGCTGGTTTAAGCTACTAATACTCTTTTGTGCCCAGGTTCTTAAACAAAACTATTTGCCTGCTATCTTTAAGTTGGACTTAACCAAAGTATCAGTTTTTCTTGTAAACAGGAATCAGAATTAAACTTCTACCCTAAATCTTCTAAATGTGTTTAATAAACTTTAATCTGAAAACAGCAACAACTAAATCTCAGCTAAAAGAGAAACCAAACTCCAGCCAAGATATTAAGAGTATCAATTTTTCAGTTATACTTAAAAAAAATAAATAAATTGAATGCCTAAAAGAAGCGGAAATAGGCCCAATGATATCTCTGAAAATTCTTCATATGAAAGTGGCAATTTAATAAAAGAAAACAGAGGGTCTGCCAATCCCATAAAAAGTTTCTCAATTGCTTATCACGTTGCTTAAAATGCTGAAGAGGAATTAACATTGGATTTCATACACATACATGTGCATGTATGAAAATCAGTCTAGATGCTATATTAATTTTAACAATATTTTTTCTTCCCTGTAAACTCATTGGAATTTTCAGCCATCTATATAAATATGAGTTAGTGTTCAACAACAAAGGAATTTTTCTTAGAACAATTATTTGAAGATATTTAAGAACATTTGAACAATAAACAAACCCATTCTTACAAATCTCCTCAGATAATCCGGGTATGAATGAAAACATATTACTCCAGTTGGTTGAATGACCTACTAATTTAGCAAAGTGCTAAATAAAATATATAATAGCAATCTATGTTCAATTCCAATCACATTAATACCCCAGATATTCTTTGATTATCTAATAAAATAGGCCAGTAGTTTCACTATCAAATTTTATATGAGAGATGAATTTCTTATCAAAGTTCTCATTCCCAGTAATTCTCTTGATATAATATAATGAAAAATTCACACCATCTGTATAGAATGAAAATCTATGGGATACATGGTTTGAAGCATATAATACGTTTCTGCTAAAGTTGTACCCTTCCACTCGCAATGAAATATGATATTAGAGATGTTCTGAGAGAATCAGTTTCTTGAATGCAAAGCATTTATCTCATTGACCAGCCATTACCAGAGAGACCCAGAGAGAGTCCTGTTGCCATGTGACCCCTGGAACTTCATTCCCCCTATCCCTGAGATCAGTCATTGTTGTCCAGAAGTCAGCCTTACACAAAGTAACTCTGATCTGAAAACTAAAACAGTTGGTAGACTGCATTATATACCTGCTGCACAACACCTGCCTTCAGCCATGTGCAATGCAGGCCCATTAACGATATTGGATTGTGAGGGGAAGGTATTTTTCTTGATCTTGCTAATGAAGGTATTTGTGCCATTCCTTTTCTAGGTACAGCATTTCCTACATTCCATTTGCAAGGTAATCTTGATTGCCAGCATTTAGTTTACGGGACAAACACATTTCTTCCGTGATTCATATGGGTTGGAAAATCAAACTAACCTTAATGAAATGCTGTTCTGTGTGCCAGAGATCCAAGAATTACTTATACAAACTATGTATTTCCTGGCAGGAATGACAGGTACATATTGTTTTGGTGAAACACTGCCATCAGTGTAGAGAGTTGCTTTACAAGTGGGCATATCTGAGTGCTGAAAAGTTGTAATCTATGTAATGACAAAGGAAGATGAAAAACAGAAAAGATATGGAGGCTCATGGGTTTGTGATTAGTTCAGAATCGCATAGTAGACATGGATAGCTCTAACTAGTTTGGAGAAGGAAAGGTTTGGCAAAAACAGAGTTAGGGTAATGAAGACTTTCTATGTAAAAGATTTCTCCCTGTCAGGATTCCTAGGAGATACGAGTTTTGAGATAAGATCAAAAGGAAATATGAGAGTTTGTTTAGTGTGGTTAGTTTAAATAAGGCAGCAGCTAGGTTCATATACTGCCTTAAGTCATAATATGGATTACTTGATTTTGGCTTAGCAAAACCCTGTTAGTTGTGGCTTTATTAATGAACCGTGCCTAAACATCATGGTGTTGTGTAAACCTAGTCACAGTCTTAGCTTTATCAACATTTCTTTTCACAGAGACGCTGTGAAAAAATGTTTTGCTGCATGCCTCACATAACAGGTAAGCAAGTAACCTCATAAGTTCCAGAAAATACGGTGATTGTCAGTTACAGTAAAATGGTTATATCCTCCTTTTTAGCCATGCTCATCTTAATTTATAGCAAGGAGTAGGGTTCCACAAATCATTTGGAAGGGCCTTGGAGAGATAGAGATGCTTTGACGTTCAAAGGAGCAGGTTTTTTGAGGTGGTTTGAAAATGTTGTGGAAAATTCAGAAGTACAGAACACAAGACTGAGGAGAAGAAACCATGTTTATTGCAATGATTGTTGGATGCCTGCTTTACAAGAAAGAGGGAACCCAAACAAAAAGCAAAGATTTTTTATAGAAGTTGAGAGCTACAAGGGAGGAAATCCTAGGGATCTGATTTGCTGGCCAGGTTGGGGAAGATGGGCAGGTCCTTGTCAGTCTGTCTGGGTTTAGTTCTTTTGTTAGGCAAAGTGGCCCTTTCAGGAGGGCAGCAGAGCTGGAGAAGTCCATTGTGAAGGAGATGGAATGTTGAGGTCATCATCTGATAAGGAGATGGAAGATTGGGATTTCTCAACTTCTTACTATGTTATAATTTCTTTATTAGAATTGCCCTTGGGCTATACTGTTAGTTGGTGAGGAGGTTTCTATTCTTTGGTTTAGGTGGGAGCTTTCTCTGGGGATAGGGAGGGTCAGTTTGGGTCTGAGCTGGAGAGGAGCTGGATTTGACCCTGATAAAGTCCAAAAGACAGGGAGGAAAAGGGTGCAACCTCCATTTTGCTTGTTAGATTTATTTTCTCCACTACAAGAAATACTTTGTACAGCTTAGTAATTAATACATTAAGTCTCAGTATGTTTCTCTAATGCTCAATCGTCTTTGGGGATATGCTTAAAGTAATGAAAAAAAATTAAAGTTTATTTGGAGAATGGTCCCCAATTCACTGTATTTAAATGATAGCCAAAGCCAAAACAACTTACTAAGGTGTAGGAGCCCATTACAGGTAGTCCTCGACTTACAACCACAGTTGGGACCAGAACTTCCATCTCTAAGCGATGCGATTGTTAAATGAGTTGCGCCCAAATTTATGACCTTTTTGCCATTAAGTGAATCACATAGTCGTTAAGCAAATCTGGCTTCCCTCATTGACTTTGCTTGTTGGAAGC